AACTACAAATTGAAACTGGCTCACCAGAATGGCTAAAATGAAAAAGACAAACTACAGTGGAAAAAGGTATTTGAAACAAACATATAACCAACAAAGAGTTCATATCTAGAATAAATAAAACACTCTTAAAAAAATTAAGATGTCAGGCAGCCCAATGAAAAAGGCCAATAAACATTTTAAAAGGTACCTGAACTCATCATAGAAATGCAAATTAAAACAATGAGATAGTGTGGTACTGGCATTAAGCAGGCATATAGATCGATGGGATAAAATTGAGAGTCCAGAAATTAATCTTTACATTTATGGTCAATTGGTTTTTGACAAGGGTGCCAAGGCAACTCCATGGGGAAAAATAGCTCTTGCAACAAATGGTGCTAGATATCCACGTGTAAAATTTTAGATGAATCTAGACTTCTATCTTACATTATACACAAAATTAAGTAGATCACAGACCTAAACGTAAGAGTTAAAACTATAAAACTTCTAGAAGAAAACACAGGAAAAAAACTTTGTGACTTTGAGTTAAGCAAAGAGTTCTTAGATACAACACCAAAAGCAAGATCTTTAAAAGAAAAACATGATAAATCAGACTTCACCAAAATTCAAACTTTTGTGCTTCAAGGACAATAGTAAGAGGATAAAAAGACAAGACATAGACGGGGAAAAAATATTTAGAAATCAAATATCTGATAAAGGACTCATTCAGATTATATAAAGAATTGTTATAGTTCAATAAGAAGAAGACAGCCAATTTAAAAATAGGCAAAGGTTTGAATAGACATTTCATCAAAGAAGATATACGAATGGCTAACAGATACATGAAAAGATGCTTAACATCTGCAGTCATTAGGGAAATGCAAATTAAACCATAAGAAGATACCACTAAACACCCTCAAGAAAGGCTATAATCAAAAAGACAGACAGTAACAAGTATTGGCAAGAATGTGGACACACTGGAATCCTCATATGCTGCTGATGGGAATGTAAAATGGTGTAAGCACTTTGGAAAACAGTTTGGCAGTTTCTTAAAAAGCTAAACATAAACTTACCATACAGGCCAGCAATTCCATTCGTAGGTATCTACCCAAGAGAGATGAAAATATATGTCCAAACAAAGACTTGTATGTGAATGTTCATAGCAGCATTATTCATAATAGTCAAAAAACAACTCAGATGTCCATCAGTCCATGAATGGATAATGAAAATGTGGTATATTCATATAACAGAATATTATTCAGCATTAAAAAGAAGCAAACTACTCAACATGGATGAACCTCAAAAACATTATACTTAGTGAAAGAGAGAGATGTAAAAGACTATATATTGCACGATTTCATTTACATGAAATGTCCAGAAAAGGCAAATCTAGAGACAGAAGGCAGACCAGTAGTTGCCTGGAGCTGGGGATGGGAGTAGGGACTGATGGCAAACGGGCACAAGGTAACTTTTTTGGGCAGTGATGTAAATATTCTAAAATTGGATTGTAGTAATGGTTGCACAACTCTACACATTTATTAAAATAATTAAAATTTCCAATTACGACGCGTAAATTTTATAGTAGGTAAATTATGCCTCAATAAAACTTTAAAAAAAAGTATGATTTGAAAAAAAAGGAAAGAAAATCTATGGATAAAGCTGAAGTTATACTCAGAGGAATACATAGCTTTAAAATCTTTTATTATTAAAAACGAACTAGGAGCTGGCCCAGTGGCATAGTGGTTAAGTGCATGCACTCCACTTCGGCTGCCCAGGGTTCGAGGGTTCAGATCCCGAGCAGGGACCTACCACCACTTATCAAACCATGCTGTGGCAGGCGTCCCACATATAAAGTAGAGGAAGAGGGGCACAGATGTTAGCCCAGGGCCAAACTTCCTCAGCAAAAAAAAGAGGAGGATTGGCAACAGATGTTAGTTCATGGTTAATCTTCCTCACCAAAACAAAAAAACCAAAAATAAGTGAACTCTGTATACAACTTAATAAATGAGGAAAAGAATAAAATAAAAGAAAATATGATAAGTAATTAAAGATAAAAGTAGAAATTAATGATATTGAAAACAAAATAATCAAAAGAATAAATGAGCTCATAAGGAGACATCCCCACCACAGATGTGGAAGAAATTAAAAGATTCATTAAAGAATATAATGTACAAGTTAATACATGACCTACCCTAAATTGACCCAACATGCAAGTAATCTACAGATTTATCATTGAGAAAAGCACCAAGCCCAGCTGAATTCTAACTCAACCTTGTAACCCTCTGTCATGGACTTTAAGACACATATGTCATTCCACATTTGAGTTCTGAAATGTGAGTGCATCTTACAATCCCTGCCATCAGAGGGCAGCATGGGAGAGCCATGTAAAAACCTATAGACCACCTTCAGGAAAGATCGAAAGTGCCAGTATCAAAGCATCTCAGATCTGATAAAATACAGTAGTATCAAAAAAGGAAGAAAACTATAGACCAGTTTCATGTAGTAAATATAGAAGTAAAGACTAACAAAACCAGTAAACTGAACCCAGCACCATATAAAAGTAATTACATACTGCAACCATATTGAGGTTTATCCCAGTAATGCAAGGATAGTGCAAAACCAGAAAATCTATCAACACAGCAATTATTATATTAACATCTTGAGGAGAAAAGTCATACAGCATCTGATAAAATCAGCAGTAGTGCACTAGCACGGCACCAGCCAGCCAAGGTGGGAGCCGGGAAGAGCCACGCGAATGTGGGCTGTGGAACATCAGCAGCCTGGGTAAAGGCAATTTACCAGAAACCAAGAGCCATTTTCACACTAAACAAGGAAATGCTGAAGTCTTCTACCTAAATGGGAGAAAGCAGGGAGGCCTGCTCTCACCTCTGTTATCTATATTTTATTGGTTCTAGCTAATGGCATAATAAAATTAAAATAACTATAGTGTATGTTGGTATAAATACTAGAAGAGAGATAAAAGTTTCTAATTGCAAATGACAAGACTATATACGCAGACTCTAGTAAAAAAAATTACTAAGATTAAAAAGAAAATTTGGTAAGGCAACAGAATAATAAAATGTTGAAAAATCAACAGCTTTTCATTAGATTAGCAAAAACTAATTAGAAGCAGAAATGGAAAAAATATAACCCAGAAACAAGAGTAACAAAAACTATAAACCACTTAGGAATTAATGCAAAGGTAAAGACTTATAAGAAAATCATAAAATCTTATAAAAAGTCAGAAAACAAGACCCAGAAAAATGGAGAAGATGTACCATTCCTGGATGGGAAGAGTACCGTAAAAATATCAATCTTCCCCAAATCAAAATATCTTTAATGTAAGTCCAATCAATTCCTATTTTTTTCTGAACTACACAAAATTATTTTAACATATATACAGAAGAACTAATGTTTTAGAATAGCCAAGAAAGATTTACGAAACAAGAACAGTGAGGCGCAGGGCTTGACCAGTGTGAAATTCTCCTGGATATGTGGATGCGCAACTGAGAATTCATCCTTCTGGGAACAGTGGAAAGACAGGCTCTGCATGGTGCTCGGGAGGGCAGGGCACATCCCCTAAGGGGCAGGAGCCAAGCTCCAGCTGTGATGGGTATTAGGGAGGGACGGGGCTTGGACTGTGAAGGCTCAGGAATGGTTATGGGAAGCCTTTTCCACCCCAGACATCCCAAGTATTCTGGCTGGGCCTCCTGAGGGTATGGCAGGAGGAGTTATGTGTGTGTGTTCCTTTCCTCACTCACTGACTGTCTCCCACCATCGGGACAGGATGTTGGCTCCAGCAGAGCAGGCCCTTGGTTTGGTTTAATACTGTACCTCCAGTACCCAGAACAGGGCTTGGTTTGCAGGTGCTCAATACAATATCTGATGAATGAATGAGTAGCATCAGAAAGGCGTGGACTATTTGGGAAGGGAAGACTCCTCAAAAATGACCTAGTATGCATATCTACCTCAAAGCTAAACCAAATATAAGCCAGATACAAGCTCTGTACACTGCAGCGAGTGGAGAGCCTGGATTCCCAGCAAGCAAGGGGTAGAAAATGCATCCATGAATCTGTAAGTCCTTCCCTCCATCCACCCTTCCACTCATCCCTCCATCCCTACTGCTCTCCATCACTCCCTCCTCGCGCACATCTGGCACATCTGCACTGAGCTCCTGCTATCTGCCCTGCAGTGTGGAAGTCACTGGAATACACCTGGAAAAATGATAAACTTCTTGCTCTGAGTCTATATGAGATGAAAATTAACTGTGAAAGACCCATTGTTATGAATTTAAGATATGAAAAATGTCTGAAGTTTTATTTAATACACTAGTCTTATATTTTAGTGAATATAAAAGTTTTCAGAGGTTCACGTTTGACTTTGGGGTCCTTACCCTATTTTCCTTGATAAGGTTTTATGTACTTCAACCTCAAAATCTCCTAGGGGAGCACTTTTACGGACAGATGGAAAGGGGCAACTGTGCCATTTCAGGGAAAATTCAAAGCAAACAGCCCTGTTCCTTGACTAATCTCAAATAGGAAACCCCTGGGTAGAGGTAATCCCCAAGTGATTCACAGGGAGAAAGTCCATAGGGGACTATGGTTACAGTCCTCACTCCAATGCCAGAAAAGAAAGAGGCTCTACTTCACTTTTTACAATAACTCCTTTCTGAATTGCTAAGTTCTAAGACAAATGAAAGAGAAAAATTACTTAAAAGAAAAACTGGCTAGCTTAATTACAATTAACATGAAAAGATTTAAAGCCTCTCCTCTTTTTTTTTTAGTGTATTATATCTATAATACACTCATGATTACGTTTTTATCTTAAATAGCTCTGGAATTTGAAATACTAGTTGGGTATATAAGTTAGAGGCATACAATCTAAAAAAGCTCAATAAAGAAGAAAAGATGACCCCATGGAATATAAACACAGCAGAGGTGTGAGAAGCTAGCAAACCACCAAATGTTACTCCTTCCCCCAAATGGGCAATCTTCAACTTTTAAAAGACAAATAATAAAAATTACCTTTTAAAGATGGTAGTTTTTGAAGTTCTCTATTATTGCTGGCACTAAACCTAGAAGAATTCTGCCGCTTATCTTTCTTCACTATGGGCTGCGGGACTGGCACTTTTATTTTACTCGATACTGTAGGCGAGGCAGCAGCAAGGCTGTTTTTCCTGCTGGAAATCTGTATCCAAAATAAAAACAAAAACAAGTGAATATGTCAAACGGTTATATTTTATAGCACAATTAGAATATGGAAAAATATCTCTAAAAGTTTTACTCTGTGACAGTCTCCTCTACTCTAAACAACATAATTCCTCATGTTTACTAGAGTTTGAGGCTACACCCCACCCCTATTAATGTTAGATTTCAAGAGATTCACATACTTACCTAATTCTTACATCTTCCTTCAAACTTCTGACTTCTAATATTTATCATACAGGCTGATGATAATGACCCTCCAAAGATGTTCACATCCTAATCCCTGAAACCTGTGAGTGTTTCCTTACTTGGCAAAGGGACTTTGCAGATGTGATGGGGTTAAGGATCCTGCGATAGCAGATGATCCTGGATTATCAGGGTGGGTCCCATGTTATCACACAGATCTTTACAAGACAAGAGAACCAGACCTCGAAGCAGAGGTCAGAGAGAGACTGCAAGATGCTGTGCTATTGGCTTTAGACAGAAGAGGGGACCATGAGCTAAGGAGAACAGATGGCCCCTAGAAGCTGGAAAAGGCAAGGACACGGACTGTCCTCTAGACCTTCCAGAAGGAACTAGCCCTGCGACACCTTAATTTCGGCCTGATTTCAGACTTCTGACCTCCAAAACTATAAGATAATGAGTTTGTGGGTTTTTTTTTTTTAAAGATTTTACTTATTTATTTTTTCCCCCCAAAGCCCCAGTAGATAGTTGTATGTCATAGCTGCACATCCTTCTAGTTGCTGTATGTGGGACGCGGCCTCAGCATGGCCGGAGAAGCGGTGCGTCGGTGCGCACCCGGGATCCGAACCCGGGCCGCCAGCAGCGGAGCGCGCGCACTTAACCGCTAAGCCACCGGGCCGGTCTGAGTTTGTGTTTTTTTAAGCCGCTAAGTTTGTGGTGGTTTGTACGGCAGCAGTAGGAAACTAATATAGCTGAATAACTCATAAATGACAGCTTTCCCTGCTAGCTCACCACTCAGCCCCCAAATTCCAGAAAAGGCTACATAATAGTGCTTTCTCCTTGAGACTCAGGAAATGTTCTTCTTTCTAGCTTCGCTCTCCTTGCATTCACCCCCAGGCTCCAGACTTAGAGTGCTCACCCCCAGACTGCATCGCAACCACTGGGCTGTCCAATGACACGCAGCCCACTTACAAGGGGAGAAGGAGCAGCAAATACTCAAGCAGAAGAGGATGAGTGTCGAGGGCACAGGCAGCAGAGCCGGGGTGGGGGGTCCCCTGTCATCCGCACAGGCCCAAGGGAATTAGCTGGCCCAGGGAGCCCCGTGGAGCTCAGCTGTGCTAGCCCTCGGCAGTGAGAACTGAAAGCTGCAATGGTGAGTATCCACTGTCAAGATTCTTTGTGCAGCGTACGCACTCCTCCCACCCCTCCAGTCTGCCCAAAGAAATGGGGTTTGTACCTGCACAGACACTCTTTTAAAAAGCCTATCAAACTCATCCCAGAAACACAAACCTGCCAAGTCTTTTCCAATCATGCAGGAGGGCCAAGGAGAGCAGACACACCAACTCGACCCCAAATATTTGCTCTCATCCTTGAAGAGAATTTTCACTAAGAAGTAAGAGCTGATTTACTTTTTAATAAGGTGCTTAAGAATACTTGGGAAGAGTTTTCCAAGATGCCAGACTGCCCACACGCAGATGGAGTTCTGAAGTGGGAGCAAGGACCTGGGTTCCCTTTTCTCCCACAATAGGTAGCTTCTTCCTCAAAATGTGCTTTCTTGGGCCTTGACCTTGACATTTGTCATTCTTTCCACCTGATCATGAAAACGTGGGTCTTTCTTCCTTAAAATCCTGTCCATAACTCTCCTCTATGGGATTCCCCAAGCTCAGACTTTTCTGCTCAGCTTCCTCTAGATGACCCCAGAAAACCCCAGCACTTACTCCACAGTCTCAAACAGCTCCTCCGAAGAGATGCACTTGTTTTAAAAGTTAGATTGTATACATATGTGTCTAATAGATTGAAGTTTATATCTCCTTTTTATTTTTCTATAATGCCACGTCCTGTGCTATACACATAATGACCTTGATGAACTGGCTTCATACATGAACAAAAACAGCTCCATTGCTGCTCCTACCCCGACAGGAGAAGGGACTGTGCATCTTAGGTAACAAAGCTTTTAACACTAGGATTGGGTGATCTAGCTAACTCCTAAAACAGCATTAAATCAATGGGTATCGACAGGCCACTGCAGGGAGACACGTTAAGGTAAGACTTCTAATGTCGGAGAAAACAGTTACACCTGAGACCTGCTGACTCCAAGTCACTGAGGTCTCCTCTCCCACAGGCCCTCCTGACCTCCCTCCAGAGCACTCTCCTTGGGGTAGGCACAGTGAGCTTCTAGAAGAGAAGACCTGGTCCCAACACCCCAGGCCAATTCAATGCAGTGTCTTCCCAGGGCTCTCAGCCTTTTAGTTCAATGGTGGTCTACAAGGCCCCCCAGGCTCTGTTCACAAACTTCCTCCCTGCTGCTGGGCCTGGCAGTCTCTGGGCCTGCTCTGCAGGCCCCCTACTCCCCATGTTCAGACTAAGGCCTTCACTGCACCCCTAGTCAGCTCCCGTGTCCTGTCAAGTGCTCTCTTAGCCCCATGCTTCTCTGCTGTAACTGTCACAGCTGTAACGTCTTTCCCCAGACAAGGACTGTCAGCTCCAGGAGGGCAGGGCCCATCTGGCTTGGACACCATGCTGTCCAGTTCTGTGAAGACCACTGGGCTGCCCAATATCTGACAGGAGACTGAGGAACCTGTGAGGTCAGGAAGGCTCCTGCAGGAGAGGAGCGGGGTGTGTGCGTGTTTGTGGGTGGCCGTGGTCTGGCGGGTGTCACTGAGAGCCCAAGGGCTCAGCGTGGCCGCAGCCGTAGTCAAGGAGGAAGGCCAGCACCACCAGAGGCTGGAGTGGCCCCAGGTGCCCTCAGAGCCTACTAGCCCAGGTTCAAGAGTCTGATCTTTCTCTGAAGGGCAACTGGAGGCCAGTGAAAGGGCTGAGCAGGGACGACACAAACAGATCTTCCTTCTCAAAGTCCCCTCAGGCTCCACGGTGCACTACGGATTGGCGCGGGGGAGAACGGATGCCAATGGATCCACAAGAAGGCTTTTCTAGTTGTCTAGACAAGAGATGAAGACATTGGCCTGGACCAGGACAGTGGCAGGTAAACAGTCAAGTGGATATTTGGGGGTAAAACCCACAGTGCTAGCTGACAGAGTCACTCTGTGGGATGAGAACCCCCAGACTCTGGTTTATGCAGATAGATGGATGGTGGGACGAGTCACCGAGATGGGAAAGAAAAATGGGTGGAAATAAGTTCAACTGTGAATCTGCTGAGTCTGAGGTACTGATGTGGCAATTCCAATATGCACAAGATGAGGAGTTTAAATTGCCTCCTCTCCCACTTCCTCCAGAATGACTCTATTGTCTTTTTCTTACCCTAATCAATAGCTGAAATGCTCTTTTTTCGTTTTCTTGGTTACTATCTGTCCCACCCGGCCCTGGAGACAGTAAGACTGGCGAGTGGCCTGTCCTTGTCTGCCTTCTTCACCCTGGTCCCAGAGCCTGGAACAGTCCAGCAGCCGCACAGCTGGTGCTCAGGAAACCCTCGTCTGAGCTGAAACATGTATTTGGAAGCCAACGTATCTCAATGGTTACTGAAGTCACAGGATGAAGCAGACCGCCTGGTAGAAGAGCGTCAAGTGAGAAGAGAGGAGGTGAAGGAGGAGGTAACAAGAGGCTGGGGAAAAACAGCCCGAGAAGCAGGACGAAGATCAGGGCTGTGTGTGCCATCACCGAGGCTATGGGAAGAAAGTCTTTCAGGAAGAAAAGGGCATCAACCCCGTCAAATGCCACTAAAAGCCAAATCCTGCTACATCTGGCAACACGGAGGACGTGGAGGCTGGATGAGGTCAGTCTGTGAAGTGGGGCAGGGAGGAGCCGCTGGAGCTGAGGCTGAAGTAGGAAGACCCAGAGCATCCACAGCACCTTCGAAAAATGGGGCTGGGAAGAAAGAAGGGCGCTGGGCACCAGGGGCAGCAGGGTCGGAGGAGGGGTCTCTGACTGGGAGACAAGGGGTTTGAATGCACTCAACGCTGACGGGGCAGGCCGCAGAGAGGGGGCAAACTTGAGGGAACAACTGAGCAAGGAGCTGGAATCTGGGCCTCTGCAGTGACAACAAAACAGAGCAAGAAAAGGACGGGTCTGACAAGACAGGATGGCTGTCAGTCTGACGGCTTAAAGGGAGTGAGTGATCTGATGCCCTCGAGTGTGTGTGTGTGTGTGTAGACACTTTGAGCCAAGAAGCACTCTAAAGGGAGGCAAGCCTGAGGAGGTGAGGAAGGCCTGGAGAAATGGAGATGCTCTAAACACATTTTTCTCCTGAGCTCCAAACATCAGTCGCCAACAGGACATGTAACGGTTAGAGCCCAAAGGGGGCCCTGCCTGCACAGAATTCTCCATGGGTACTCTGACAGTCCCTGTGACTCCCTAACTCACTCAAAGCCAGGCACTGTGAGTGACAGACACGGCCCTGTCCCAAGCTGTAACCTGCTGGGGTGGCAGAGCTTGGAGTGGAACGCTTGGAGCAGCTGTTATACCACCGCATCAGTCCTCCACATACTCCCACAGTGGTCTTATTTTACAGATGAGGAGACCTGAGCCCAGAGTGCAGGGCCATCTCCTGGGATCGTGCAATCAGTGGTGGAACCAAACTTGGACCTCACTCGGTCCCTGGACTTTGGACACTGCCTCCCTTGTGCCTCAGACCTGAGCATTTCTATTCTCCAATGTCTTTCAAAATTCCCCCCTTCTGTAATTTTATAATGGTTAGACCCAACCACCACGACTATGTGCCAGAGCCTATGTGATAGATACTATGTGATACACTGCTCAAGAAGACCCACACTGACATGTCTTTTAAGATCTTTTAAAAGAGTATTTCCATCAAAATAGGGTGGTACTGGCATAAGCATGGACATA